CCAGAGACATAGCCATTAAGCTAACTGCTGGTCCCTTGTTTTGTTTTTTTAAGAATTATTTTTATTTATAGGGACCAGTAGTTAGCGTAATGGCTATGTCACTGGACTCCCATGTAGTCGACTGCGGTTCGAGTCCCGGACCCGGTGGCTTAAACTCACGCCAGGCACATGTGCGTTGCGTACCCAAAATCCTGATAGGAGAATGGAGGAGAAGGGATTGCGGCTTGGCCATCCCCCCTGGGGGGTGATTTCTTGCTTTCTGTCTCTCTGTCTCTCTTTGTCTTTCTTGTGAGCACATGCACCCTGTAGTGAAAACCTCTCCAAAAAAAATTTATTTACTTACGTATTTTTAATTTTGACCAGAGAGGGACAGAATGAAAGTGAGAGAGCAAGAGAGGGGGAGGGAAGGTGAGAAAGCAAGCCACCAGGTCTGGGACTTGAACTGCTGTCAGCAATGTGAAAGACCAGCTCCCTTAACCACCACACCACCTGCCAGCCCCCAGATTTTTTTTTTTTTTTTAACACAAGAGACTTTTGCTATAGGGTGTGTGTGCTCACTGGAGAGACAGGGAGAGAGAGACCATAGAAGGTGAGAAATCCCTCTCTCCCCCTGGGGTGACCATTCTACAATCCCTCCTCCTTCAATCTTCTCTCAGGATTTTGGGCACGCATGCACATGTGCCCAGCATGTTTTAAACCACCAGGTACAGGACTTGAACCGTGGTCAATATGTGGGAGTTCAGTGATGTAACCATTACACCATCTGCTGGTCTCCAGAATTTTTTAATACTACACTTAGATCAGCAGTTAGTGAGAGCTAGGAAGTCAGAAAAAGGCCAAAGGATATAAACTAGACATGGTAGGAATTACTAATTTCCAGACCAGCCCCAAGCTGGTCATTCAGTAACCCAAGGGAGATTTAAAAGGATTTCCAGGGACCAGCAGGTGGCATGGTGGTTAAGGCACTGGACACTCCCATATGGTTGACCACAGTTTGAGTCCCAGACCTGGTAGCTTGCTTTCTTGCTTTCTCTTTATCTCTCTCTGTTTCTCTTTCTGTCTGGTCAAATTAAATAAATGAATAAATAAATAAAAGTAAATAAATAATTCTTTTTTTTAAAAAATAGTGACCAGCAGTTGGCGTAATGGCTATGTTGGTGGACTCCCATGCAGTTGACCACAGTTCGAGTCCCAGACCCAGTGGCTTAACCTTATGCCAGGCATGTGTGTGTGCATGCCCGAGATCCCGACAGGAGAATGAAGGAGAAGAGATTGCGGAATGGCCATCCCCCCGGGGAGTGCTTTCTCACTTTCTATCTCTCTGTCTCTGTCTTTCTGGCAAGCGAATGTGCCTTATAGCAAAAACCTCTCCAAAAAAAAAAGAATGAATAAACCAAAGGATTTCCAAAAAATGAACCTCCTTGCATCCCGGTGATCATCTCTTAAAGCATTTTCACAGAAGTAGAAGCCAGTGACTCTGTGGTTGATTGATCAGATCGATGGGGTGGTTGGTTGATTAGGTAACATTCTTGGTCTGCCACTTTATGTACTTAAGTCTGCCACTCCACCCCTTGGTTGGCTCAGTTTCCGGTTATAACTAGGGTGCATGTTCCAGAAGAATCCCTGCCAGCCTGGGGTGAAAAGGATCTGTGAGGTAGTCATAGATTTTGGTAGTTTGTCCCATCTTTCCTAAAAGCATGAATCCCCAGGCTATTGGAGTGGGTCTTTCACCTGCAGGGTACAGCTAAGTGAACTCCTTATTTCTGTACAGCTGAAAGAACTGTACACACTCCTGAATGAGAACTATGTGGAAGATGATGACAACATGTTCCGATTTGATTATTCCCCGGAATTTCTCTTGTGGTGAGTTAGAAGGACTTTCTTACAGTTCATGAGGGTAAGGTGCAGGGAGAATGACCACAGGGTGCCAGTTTTCATCCCCTCCAAGAGCCAGTCTGTCAATGGCAAATTAGTTGTCATACTTGAGTTCTTGCATCTGAAGACTTGCTTTCAGTGACGCTAGCAGTTAGTGAGAGCTAGGAAGTCAGAAAAAGGCCAAAGGATATAAACTAGACATGGTAGGAATTACTAATTTCCAGACCAGCCCCAAGCTGGTCATTCAGTAACCCAAGGGAGATTTAAAAGGATTTCCAGGGACCAGCAGGTGGCATGGTGGTTAAGGCACTGGACACTCCCATATGGTTGACCACAGTTTGAGTCCCAGACCTGGTAGCTTGCTTTCTTGCTTTCTCTTTATCTCTCTCTGTTTCTCTTTCTGTCTGGTCAAATTAAATAAATGAATAAATAAATAAAAGTAAATAAATAATTCTTTTTTTTAAAAAATAGTGACCAGCAGTTGGCGTAATGGCTATGTTGGTGGACTCCCATGCAGTTGACCACAGTTCGAGTCCCAGACCCAGTGGCTTAAACTTATGCCAGGCATGTGTGTGTGCATGCCCGAGATCCCGACAGGAGAATGAAGGAGAAGAGATTGCGGAATGGCCATCCCCCCGGGGAGTGCTTTCTCACTTTCTATCTCTCTGTCTCTGTCTTTCTGGCAAGCGAATGTGCCTTATAGCAAAAACCTCTCCAAAAAAAAAAGAATGAATAAACCAAAGGATTTCCAAAAAATGAACCTCCTTGCATCCCGGTGATCATCTCTTAAAGCATTTTCACAGAAGTAGAAGCCAGTGACTCTGTGGTTGATTGATCAGATCGATGGGGTGGTTGGTTGATTAGGTAACATTCTTGGTCTGCCACTTTATGTACTTAAGTCTGCCACTCCACCCCTTGGTTGGCTCAGTTTCCGGTTATAACTAGGGTGCATGTTCCAGAAGAATCCCTGCCAGCCTGGGGTGAAAAGGATCTGTGAGGTAGTCATAGATTTTGGTAGTTTGTCCCATCTTTCCTAAAAGCATGAATCCCCAGGCTATTGGAGTGGGTCTTTCACCTGCAGGGTACAGCTAAGTGAACTCCTTATTTCTGTACAGCTGAAAGAACTGTACACACTCCTGAATGAGAACTATGTGGAAGATGATGACAACATGTTCCGATTTGATTATTCCCCGGAATTTCTCTTGTGGTGAGTTAGAAGGACTTTCTTACAGTTCATGAGGGTAAGGTGCAGGGAGAATGACCACAGGGTGCCAGTTTTCATCCCCTCCAAGAGCCAGTCTGTCAATGGCAAATTAGTTGTCATACTTGAGTTCTTGCATCTGAAGACTTGCTTTCAGTGACGCTTAGAACTGAACTCTTATTTAAGACTATTGATTGGGTTAGGGAGACCTTCATGGATTTGCTACTCAGAAGTAAAGATTGCTTGTTGTGATAACTTTATACAAGAAGAGAAGGATGGATAAGACCTGCTAAGATTTTAAAAAGAGGGTCATTTTCTTCTCAGTTCCTGAGCATGCTCAGTTATGTGAAAATGGCTGTGCCTGGCTGAGCCATTCGCCTGCCTGGGCCACATTTTATACCCAGGCAGGTCCAGGCATGAGGCTGAAATGGAGAGGAACTGCTGACAATGAGGAGAAAGGCAGAATGGGCAAGCAGGAAAGAAGTGATGCTCAGGGGCAAAGGAGAGGCCAGAGCGCCACGGGGGCCACAATCAGCTCCCACCCATGGGACCCACTGGCCTCTGAACCAAAGAGGCCAGTCCTCTGGTTCAAGCTGTCAAAGTGAACCCAAAGAAGTAGAATCAAGCACGAGATCCTCAGTATGACAGCCTTGAATTGGACAAGCAGGTAGTCAGGTGAGCTGAGCAGTGAGAAATGGGTATGGCTCCATTCAGTTTGCGTCTAGCAGGGCTTGGCCCTAAAGAGAATTTGACTGTTAACCCCCTGGGAGGTGGCAGCACCAGGTTGGAACAGACTCGGCTGTGGAGCCTGCTGGCAGACAGCACCACAACCCCGGTCCCTGTCTTTTCTAGGGCTCTCCGGCCGCCCGGCTGGCTCCCCCAGTGGCACTGCGGGGTTCGAGTGGTCTCAAGTCGAAAACTGGTTGGGTTCATTAGCGCCATCCCAGCAAACATCCATATCTATGACACGTAAGCACCTGCGCCCACCCCTACCCACACCACCACTATCTTTCTTGGTCTGGAAGGGAGGAGAAAAAATCCACATATACTCACCACCCTCTCCCCACCGAAAGACAGAAAGTTCCCACAAGGGGAGGACACACAGGTGCTGGGAATAAAAACTCATCATGGGAACCTCCTGTTTGTCCGAGTTGTGTGGCTGGTTTCCTGTCCAGCCCGGGCTGGAGGGCCCACCCTCCAGTGTGCGTGCTCCACGGGGCCTCCTCCTTGTACCAGTCGCATGCAGATACACCGGAGTAGTTTCAGAAACCGGCTGGAGCCAGGGAGACCCAGATTCAGATACTCAAGGGCATTTAGTCTCTGCTCTTCATTTTCCCTGGAAATGTCAGAAGCATCTGCCACTTTTTTCTGGGCTCTTAGGCTATGGGTTCTTGTGGGAATCAAATTCTTGAAATCCCAGACTTAATCTTGCCACTTCTCTGCACACTAAAGTGGGGCTTCCAGCCTGTTGTTCAGGATTCATCAGGAAGATGCTGGTGGAACCTTCAAATAAAGGTGTTTGCTGAGTCTCACCTTCCTTGGGTGTAGAGTCTGTGTTGAGCCAAGGCAGGCTCCCCCCAGTGGGGGCTCACAGAGGAGTGGGGAATCCCCATACTGACTACCGAGTGCCAGTGGTTACACCTGTGCCAATGTCAGAGGTGTTACGTTGACCTTTTCCTGTCGAAGGCCTTGTCACCTGGATTTTCTCTCCCTCTTCAGAGAGAAGAAGATGGTAGAAATCAACTTCCTGTGTGTTCATAAGAAACTGCGCTCCAAAAGAGTGGCTCCGGTCTTGATCCGCGAGATAACCCGGCGAGTTCACCTAGAGGGCATTTTTCAAGCTGTTTACACTGCCGGGGTGGTCCTGCCAAAGCCTGTTGGCACCTGCAGGTAAAAATATCTTCTCACAAGTCCCAGGAAACTGCTGCTTTATTGAGGAGCTTATGACACTGTGCTTCGTAGCTCTGCCCCCAACTCAGTGCATGCCCGGGAGCATCTCACTTCTTAATTGTCCCTTGAGGTGGGTGGTGGGGTGCCTGCAAGAGCCAGGAGGAAAGCATGGAGGAGTGAAGGGTGAGGGTTATAGGGCTGGCAGATGGGAAGGCGTGTGCCTTGTCCAGAAGGGTTAGCCATTCTCAGCTCCTGCTATTTACCGCCATTTGGATAAGTTGATCTGCTGGGAGTTTTTGTTGTTTTTAAGGAGAAGCCCAAATCTGAACTTCTAAAAATTAAGTTAATTTATTTCTTCCATGAGCAAGTGAGAGAGGAGGAAATCCCCAACAGGATCCTCATGCCATGGTCCACCCTCATCCTTATCCAACCCTAGATCATGGGCAGGGGTCCGGGAGGTCTCTGGATACAAACCCAGAACCTTCCATGTGGGTCCGCGTCACAGAGCGTTGCATTACTGCTGCGCCACTGCTAGCCCACACTAGGTCAAGAATTTGATGGAAAATGCCCCAAAGTTTTAAATGATTGACTCAGTTTAGTTTTGACATGTGGGCAAAGAAAGCGTGCCTGATTCCTGTATGATAAGGACAACCTCTGCTTTAGGAAGTTGTTTGAAATGGTTGAGTACTCTCTCCCCGAGAACTCTCAGAGTAAAAACCCCGGGGTAGTGCAGAGAGGAGGAAGGAGTGGGTAAACACATCTGCTGCTGTCTTCTGGGCATCAATGGTTTCTATGGACTTGATTCCAGGAGCGAGAATTGCTCTATCCAGAAAACTGTTGTAACAAGGGAGCAGCTTTTGAAATTGAGAAAGAAAGGTAGGGAAAAGAGAATTTAAGCAGAAGCTATGGCTGCTCTGCATTCTCTGGGAGGAGCCAGGGAGCAGGGTGACTTGGGCCACTGGCCCAAGTGTGGCCTGATATGTCTCTGATGCCACCTACTGGCCATATGGAGGTCTCCCGGCCGTCTTTCTTTGAATGGGACTGGCCAAAATCCTCTGAGGACAAGACATTTGTGTCCCCACAGGTACTGGCATCGGTCCCTAAACCCACGGAAGCTGATTGAAGTGAAGTTCTCCCACCTGAGCAGAAATATGACCATGCAGCGTACCATGAAGCTCTACCGACTGCCAGAGGCCAGTGGTGCTCTGGGGCGATGGGCAGGGGCCAGGGAGTGGCCACGGAAAGCCTGGCCCTCAGCAGAAAAGGAGCAAGGCTTGGGTGGGAGAAGGGCTCTCAGCAGAAAGGGAACCAGCCCATGGTGTCCAGATTTCTGGGCTTTCTCTTTCTGTTGTAGCTATTTTCTACAGCCCAGGTTTTATTTTAGTTTGATTTTCTCAGTTCTCCCAAGTCTGTTCCTGGGCTAGCTTCGGTGCCATCTGTTGACAGACTCAGAGAACACCTATTCTCTGTCTCATTTTAGCCTAAATGAAATATAAATAGAGGAAGTCACTTAGCAAACCGTAATATGCCTCACAGAGCCCAGTGTAAGTGAGCTGTGGAGTGTCGGCTGCTCCCCTCTGTCAGGGCAGTAAAGAGGGGTAGCCTCAGTTTGTGAGGGAGCCCAGGTTTCTGATCCCATCACCTCCATCACCACCACCCCGCCCCCATCTCAGATTTAGCACTCAAGGACTGGGCAGCCTTGGGCGAGCTGGTTTTCTGTCTGGGTCTCTATTTGCCTAGTTTTCCAAAGAAACAAATGCTCCTTGTTCTCCAGCTGTGCCTGCTTCCAGGATTGTGAGGCAAGGATTCTTAAAATCCCTTCTCTGTCCTCGGCACTTTTCCAGTCAGTTGTCAGTCCACATAGCTATTGAGGGCCAACAGCTCCGAGCACTGCCTGCTGGATCAATCAGCCACCAAACAGGATTAATCACCCTGGAATCGGGCTAATCTACCACTAGATTAGGGTCCTCTTGTCCTGTCTTGGGATACCATGACAGCACAGGTAGACGCGGCTGTAGACACGGATTTAGGGGCCATGGTGTTGTCCTCTCTCTCCTGTTAGGACGCGTTTGCCCAGTATTCTGGGCAGGCAGGTGGAGAGCGTTTGAATTAAAGTGCTGCAGCAGCCAGAAGAACGCTGGCTCTCCCTGTGTCAGGCTGAGAACCCGCACCCAGCACGGCTGTGTTCTTAGCCCAGGTTGAGGTGTTCTTGTGGCAGCTGCCATGTAGAATGAGTTCAGTAAGTGTCCCCTAGAGAGATCAGGATCCTCAGGGTATTTTGGAAGCTAGAGGTCCTGGAACGGAAGTTGTAATGCAATTCCTGCACTAGGAAGCAGTTGTATCAGGCAGTGAGTAAGGCACATGAACTGTGTCTCCGCCCTGTTTTCATAGTTGGTCTGACCCCACCTCTGTGCAGCTAAATTCCTGGGGATGTTCTATCAGCCCAGTACTCGCTCTATAGGGTCATGTGGTTTCATTCCACTGAAACTATTTTTTTCTCGTTTTCTTTTTTTAGTTTGCCAAAGAGTAGTGCACTCACTGAAGAGATGGAGAAGGAGAGAGGGAAAGTGAGAAAGTGCCCCCCCACCCCCGCCAGGGGATGGTCATGCTGTAGTCCCTTTTCTTTCATTCTCTTGAGATTTTGGATATGTACACACATACTAGCATGTTTTTCAAGTCACTGGGTCTAGGACTGAGAACCACACAGTTAGCCACCTTAACCACCATGCCACTCGCTGGCCCAGCCATTGAAGCATTTTTCCAAGAAAAAGCTTCTATGGGATGGGATGCTGAACTGAGATTGAATCCCTGGAGTTGAGTGCTTTTCTTCTGAGTTTAATTTTCAGCAGTGCCCTTTGGCAGCACTGCTGGTCCCAGTATCTGAGTGGACAGACAGGGCATGCATCAGATACAGACTCTAGCTGGGACCTGTCTGAGACTCTAGCTGGAATCTGTCTGAGAAGTACTTGAAGCCTGTTGGAGAGAGACCAGTGAATGTTGACAGACATCAGCTTCAACTTAGCGTAAGAGGGTCGTGAGGGCTCAGAGGAGAGGCTCCAAGAAAGGCTTGAGGCCCAGGAGTAGCACCATGCTAGGTCGAGGAAGGTGCCCGGAGAGCCCCGTACATCCCAGGGTAGGCAGGTAGGCAGGGTCGCGCTCTCAGTCACAGCACCGTTGGCGTCTTCAGTCAAGGTTTGCAGCGTCTCTAGCTTCTACCGAGTAGATGCCAGTAGTATCCCTACTGTTAGTTGTAATAATTCAGAATGTCTCCAAGTATTGTTGGATGTTCCCTAAGTGGAAAATTGCCCTCTTTGGGAACCACTGGGCCAGATAGATGTAAAGTTCAACTGGAATGGCCAGTGGCCCAGGGAGGAAGGTCTCATGTTCTGTGTTGACGAGTGGAAACAAGGGAGGGTCATGGTGGGGTGGGGTGTGATGATGGTGGGGTGGGGTTTTCTTAGGAAGACAGCCTGGGGCCGTGTGAGGGAGCGATTAGTGCAACAGCCTGTAGCCTGTTGACAGCCTTTACTGGGAGGGAAAGGGCCAGAGAGGAAAGACTACCTGAGTAGATACTGGGAGAGGGTAAGGGGGAGTGGCTGAGGGTGACCAAGGACTCTCTCGAGGACCTAGGTGGATCGGTCCGGTCCGGAGGGATAAGCACATCAATGCCATCTCTTCTCTCTTCCCTCCAGGCTCCCAAGACAGCTGGGCTGCGACCAATGGAAAAAAAGGACATTCCAGTAGTACACCAGCTCCTCACCAGGTACTTGAAGCAGTTTCACCTCACACCGGTCATGAGCCAGGAGGAGGTGGAGCATTGGTTCTACCCCCAGGAGAACATCATCGACACTTTCGTGGTGGAGGTGAGTCGCAGAGCAGCATTCCGGGTCCTGGACTCCCAGAGAGGCGTCCCCCTGCCACTCTCTAGTGGCCTCATTGTTGGCACCTAGACTTCCCTGCCCCACCCATCCTTGGTCCTCCCTAAAGGCAGAATTGGAGTCTGCATTTGCTGAAAAGGTGCCTCTGCTCCTGGCTTGAGCCCGTCTCCCTCCTTCTCCCCGTTGATAACACAGACCTCTCCCAGTCAGGTCGGCTCCTGCTCCCAGCTGAACCTAGTGCAGCCAGACCTCAAAGACCCAGTCTGGGAGGTGCAGTTGCACGAAGAGGAGCTGGCAGTGCCTAGGCAGAGAAGGAGGTCTGGCAGACAGAGGTCCTGGCTCTGTCCACAGTGCCCTCGCCAGTGTGGTTCCCCTCTCTGCGGAGCCTGTTTCAGTTCCCACCCACGCATCTGGAGGGCAGAGCTGCCTGCAGTGCTGTGCGAGTGGGAACAGCCATCTCGTTCCCAGGCTGCAGTCTCTGTGCATGCATGACGTTGCCTCTTTGTCTTCCCTTCAGAATGCAAACGGGGAGGTGACGGACTTCCTGAGCTTTTACACGCTTCCCTCCACCATCATGAACCATCCAACCCACAAGAGTCTAAAAGCTGCTTATTCTTTTTACAACGTTCACACCCAGACCCCTCTTCTAGACCTCATGAGTGACGCCCTTGTTCTCGCCAAAATGGTGAGGTGCAGACCAGAGGGTCTCCAGACTTACCTGGGAAGGGGTCCGTGGGGTGGTGGTGAGCACAGCTGACAGGAGGTACCTGCTGTGAACTGGGCGGTCCAAGCTCTCCTGCCCTCCCGCTCTACCTAAGTAGGGCCCAGCAATTTCCAGCCCCAAACTGAAAAATACAAGGGAGTGTGGAGCGCCCAGCCAAAGTAAAGGCATTGAACTCCTGACTTATTTCAGTGAGTTTCATTCTCACAGGTGCCTCCAAAGAGCCTGAATAGCAAGGCCTGCCCGGGAGTAAAAGGGTTCTCCTTACAGCCTCCCTGGCATGGGAAGGGGGAGGTTAAGTCTCTCGGTGAGTCATTGGTACATCTGCTCACAGAGCCCAGGGTAGAGAGGTCGTCAGTCAGTCCTCATGTGGGCAGGCTGGCCCCTGCCCTGGGAGAGCTTCTGATCCCGTTAGTGAGTTAGGAATTGTCTCTGTCACACGCTCAGAGCAGCTATTGGGTGGCAGACCGTCTCCTGGAGCACACTGAAGGCCAGAGAGTCGGGATATCAGTAGAGTAAGGAAGCCGCCAAGTACTGGGTAGCCCATAGGAGCCAGCTTCTCAGAAGAAGGGGCCCAGGGCTTGGTCCCTAGAGAGGACTGTGGAAATTGTACTAGGCAGTGTGAAAGGAGCAGCTGGAGCAGTGGCCTGGACACTGAAGGCACGTGTGTGCCCAGTGGGACCCTGCAGAGAGGCCGCTTTGGAGGGGTAGTCACAGAGTGTCCTCAGAAGAGCACCTTGGGAGCTGGGCAGTGGCCGGAGTTTGGACTTTACATAGAAGCCGCCAGAGCTTCTGAAGGAACCTTGCTCATCTGGCTGCCTGTAGGACAGTTTTGATATGATAGCAAAGGGGACATGGAGGTGAGGCAGCCTTCACCTGTCATCTGTTCTCGTTTCTCCCTGCTGCCATGCAGAAAGGGTTTGATGTGTTCAATGCACTGGATCTCATGGAGAACAAAACCTTCCTGGAGAAGCTCAAGTTTGGCATAGGGGATGGCAACCTGCAGTATTACCTTTACAATTGGAAATGCCCCAGCATGGGGGCAGAAAAGGTACGTGCAGTGCACATTGGGGTATGGGCTACAGCATCAGCCTGGGCCCCCCGGACCCGGTTTTGGGCCCTCGAAAACTACCTCTTCCTGATGGCCAGACCAGCAAGCCAGTGTCCCCCTTTCCACTGCTAGTGCAAGAAGGGCAGAGGGGCAGGCCCAGAACCGCAGGGGAGCTGCAAGGTCATATCCAGCTTCTGTTCCACTGCTGAGCCTTCGTCTGGCTGGGGCGGGGCATTCTGTCCTAAGGAAGCCATGGAAGTCAGTTGCCCCCGGGTAGCCAGGAGGCTAGGCTGAGGACCTAAGGGGTGTTCCCTCTCCTGGCTGCCACCCTCGTCCAGGGACACTGCCTCAGCCCTTCCTGCCCCAGCTCCGCAGGGCAGCTCAGGTACCTGGGCACAGGCGGCATTTATACAGTACTGACTGGGGAATGGGAGGGAGCCCTTGGGACCAGTTTCCTGGTGTGCTCACCACAGCTCTTCTGGATCTGATTGGTGTGTGAAGCTGGGCCGAGGTGAGGGAAAGGCCCAGGCTTGGTGTGAGTCAGCTCATGGAGAACAAAACCTTCCTGGAGAAGCTCAAGTTTGGCATAGGGGATGGCAACCTGCAGTATTACCTTTACAATTGGAAATGCCCCAGCATGGGGGCAGAAAAGGTACGTGCAGTGCACATTGGGGTATGGGCTACAGCATCAGCCTGGGCCCCCCGGACCCGGTTTTGGGCCCTCGAAAACTACCTCTTCCTGATGGCCAGACCAGCAAGCCAGTGTCCCCCTTTCCACTGCTAGTGCAAGAAGGGCAGAGGGGCAGGCCCAGAACCGCAGGGGAGCTGCAAGGTCATATCCAGCTTCTGTTCCACTGCTGAGCCTTCGTCTGGCTGGGGCGGGGCATTCTGTCCTAAGGAAGCCATGGAAGTCAGTTGCCCCCGGGTAGCCAGGAGGCTAGGCTGAGGACCTAAGGGGTGTTCCCTCTCCTGGCTGCCACCCTCGTCCAGGGACACTGCCTCAGCCCTTCCTGCCCCAGCTCCGCAGGGCAGCTCAGGTACCTGGGCACAGGCGGCATTTATACAGTACTGACTGGGGAATGGGAGGGAGCCCTTGGGACCAGTTTCCTGGTGTGCTCACCACAGCTCTTCTGGATCTGATTGGTGTGTGAAGCTGGGCCGAGGTGAGGGAAAGGCCCAGGCTTGGTGTGAGTCAGCTCCATGGTACAGGGGGTATATTCTGTGGGCTCCAGCAGTTGGAATTTCAGGACTGGGTCAGGGAGTGGGAGAGTTTTGGGCAACTGCCCACTTAACTTTGCCTTTCCTGTTGGCTATCCTAGGTTGGGCTGGTGTTACAGTAACCGGTTGCCAGTGAGATTCTGGATAAAGCCACTGAGAATTTAAACCAGGAAATGGAACCCTACCACATGTTGGTCCAATTGTCACAAACGTGAGAATCCCTGGCAAAGGGAAGAGAACTGAACCGGCTTTACCAAACCGCCAGCGGACTTGACAGTTGTATTGCAATGGCGTAGGCTGCGTGATGTCACCTCTGGCCGTGTCTCTGGTCTCCCTGTTTTCCAATTAATCACATTCTCATGCAGCCGTGATCAAGGGAATGTAACTGCTGAAAAGTAGCTCGTGATTGGCATATTATGGAGTTAACGGGTGAATAATAAAAGTATATATATATTATATATATATATAAATATTTTAACTATCTTTCATGTTCCAAATGTACAAGGATTTTGGTCTCTGATGAAAAGCGGAATCCAGATCATTCCTCAGAATTAGAACCCAAGGACATGGCCGACAGACATACTGGTACAGTTTGTTGTTTCTTCAGAAGCAGGTGCTGGCTCTTCCCTTGAGAGCAGGACAAAGCGGATCTGGGGAAGTGCATCCGGTTCCCATGTGTTAGCTGGTGTTCGTGAGCAGGAAGGGCAGGTGGAGGGACCCTGCCAGCACTGGAGAAGGCTGAGGACTCCCAGAAGGGCAGGTGGGGCTCCCAGCTGGGCTTTCCCACGGCAGAGGTTTTCCTATAGGGGCCCAGCCTTTCTGCATTCAGAGACAGAACTGGGGACAGTCCACGGGAGCAGTTTTCAGGAATCGAATCTCTTTTTCCACATCTTTGACCTGCTCCCTGTAGATCTTCCTGCCATCTGACTTGTAAGGGTTCTTAGCCAGCTGTTGCCAACCTAATGGGATGAGGAGCCTGGGAGATTTCGCTTGTCCACTGCCTATGGTGACCGACAGTTTGAAGGGACCTTGTGGAGACCACATCAGGGCAAGCCCTGCTTTGCTCCTCTTAGAGCAAGGAGCCTGCGTCCTGATGTCCCCATGATGGCCGGACAGGGATGATGCGGGCCAGTACACAGGCCCCGTAAGCCAGCAGCCTGTGCCTTCCAACCCATTTAGCCATTTCTTGTGCTCCTTCCCAAGACAGCCTGCAAGTGGCAGCAAGAAGCTCTGACTGGAGGCAGGTCTGGCTCGGCAGCAGAGATGATTTTACTTCACCATTGTCTGTCGGATTTTCACTGATGCTGTTTTGTGGATTTTTGTGGTGGTTGTGATAGTTAACAATGCTGCCAGTTTCCCAAAAGTAACCAGGCCTCTGGTCATGTGGCTGTCTGTGTAAGTAGGCACTACCCGGGTGTGTTCAGCCAGGTCATCTGGAAAGGTTAGACTGCAGAACTGGCAGCCACCTATATGCAGGCTTGTATGTAACTTTTGCTCTAGGACAAAGCAAACGGGTCGCATTGTGTGTGGAGTGGGGTTGCCTTGCTGCTGTCACAGCCGCTTGAAGGGGAATGCAGCCTTAGCCAGGAGACCAGGCTCAGCCTTGTCCTACTGACCAAAGCCATTCTCTGCAAGCCATTGGCTTTGTTTCGTGCTGTGGGTTTGGGTGTGGTTTGTCAGAAGCGAGTTCTGCAGAGCCCCCACAGCTGGAGAAGACAGTGTGCCTGGGCTGGGGGCTGTGCCTGTCGCAGGGGTGCTGCCTTCTCTGCAGACTGCCTCAAGAGCCAGCACCTCCACTGTGGGGGATTGCATCAGAGGCCTCTGGGGCCACCCTCTTCCCAGGGTTCCTGTGCTGCCAGCCACAGGCATCCGCAATCATGGCCGACCTTTGACTTCTTGACTCCAAGATACTCAGACCAAAGAAGCTACTGTTCTTGGCAAGATGCTCACTGTATTCCGCGGACGGACGGAGAAGTCAGAGAGGCAGGGGCTTGCCTTTACAGCCCCACAGACTTCAGACACATGGTGCCCCAAATCTCAGAGTGACTTTTCCTGTTCAGACCTCTGAGGATCAAAGAACAAAATGCCCAAGTCTTTCCTACCTTGGGTTAGACCTAGAACTTGGAATGGCTCCCTGACCTAGTCTTAAATCAGTTCTGGGCCAGGCGTCAGCCTGAGCTGCCTCAGATTTGGGGTGTGCAAATCTCTAGAGTGAGCTTTGCTTTGGTTGACCCAGATCATGGAACGTGAGGCCCCAGTGGCTGCTCTGGAAGAAACAGATCTGGCCAAGGCCCCAGATTTTCCTCACCCAAACCAGGTGGCCTGCTCCTTGGACGCAACTAGATCTCACAGTGGGGATCCTGCCCGGGTCTGCAGGAGTTGGCTCAGGGGCTGCTGTTAGGCCCCTTCATGTCCAAACAGTCCCTGGGTTCTTCACTCTACTCCTTCTGGGACCTCAAGTCAGAGAGCTCTGAGAGCACCGTTGTTGGGTTCAGGGCCACCCCACAGGAGCCTACAGAAGGGGGCACCATGGCTACTTTGAACCCTGGGGCCTCCAGGCTGACTTGCCTCGGGTGGTTGCTGTCAGAGGCTTCCTTGGGCCTGACCCCAGTTCTGCTACCCAGTCCTCCTGGCGGTGTTTTTAAAAGACAACCTGTACCTCTGCCTTTGGATTGACTGCACTTGATCAGACTGGTGGAGAGAGACGGGCAGAAAGGTGACCTTGGCTCCAGATTGAGGCCTGGACGGGGCTCGTTTTCCCCACACATGCCTATTTTCGATGATGCTCATGTCTTGTTTGAAGGCCAGCCCACGCCAAACTACTTAAAACATCCTAGTTTATGCAAAGTCTCAGGCCTTGCCTGCAGCTCCCTCTAATTGCCATCGCCATCCTTACTTGCTGTCTCTGGAGCCAGAGGTGGGTGTCCCTATGGCCTTGAATTCTTTCCCCAAAGACAACCAGCACTTATCTAAGGGCCCAACGACCTTGGCTGGCTTCAGGGAGCTGCAGGCTAGGAGGGGGAGAAACTGAAGGGCAGTGCGGGTGGGAGGGGGCAGGGGTGTGTTAGTGCCTGGCCACCTGTGGGGCAGCCTACTTGCGGCCTAGCCCACCTACCCTGGACCAGGAGAGACCCACGGCTTCAAGTTTGCCTTGCTATGAAGTGAAGGCAGGCCGGCAAACGGACTACACCTAAGGAGGCGACTTAGGACAATTCCATTCAGTTAGATTTTAAAATAGCGACTGGCGGACAGGTGTGTCTGAGAACAGAGGGGTATGCTTTATCTTTTTGTCTTGGCTTTTCTCTGGGCTGTAGCTGGGAATCCATTTCTGGGGGGAAGGAAATACCAAATGCATTGTTGTCCTGCCCAGTACAGCTCACGTGTTTCTAATAAAGGAAGCAGCTGAACAAACCCTTCTCACTGGTATTCCTCTGGTTCGCAGAACAGATGGCGGCCTGGGGCCTGGGCCCTGCAAGGGAGGCCCTTGGGATCACAGCGCTGGGCCACTCGGGAAGACCTTCCTCTGGCAATGTTGCCCTTGCAGGCAAACTGGGCTCTTTCCCCAACCCTTGCCCATCTACCAGAGGGGAGCTGGTACTGCCCCAGGTTCATTCCCTGGAGGGGTGGCTGGGCCCTGGAGCCTGCCCCAGAGCACCCCCATCCCTCAGTCCAGGTCAGCAGTGGCTCTAATGATCCTGCAGGGCCAGACAGCTCTCAGCTGCTTCTCACACACTGAAGCTGGACTCGGCCTTGCTGTGTTCCCAGCCTGGGGTGTCAGGGCCTGGCTGGGAGTCCTGTGTTGGGGATGCCACTCAGGGCTGACCCCCAAACTGCTGCTCTCTGGGTAGGTGTAACAAAAAGGGTCGAAGGTGAGGATGAGAGCCCAAAGCTGGGAAGACCGCCTTGGAAGGGCTAGCGTCTGACAGGGAGTTGGTTGAGACCGAATGTGGGAGTTGGGGTTAAGGAGTCTCCCGGTGGAGGCAAGGGCAAGCCATAGGGCATGTTGGGCCAGCCAGTAGCTGAGGGCAGGAATGAAGTCAGAGGGGAGCCAAAGCTCCCAGCCCCGCCCCATCCCAGGCTGGTCGGTGCAGGGAAGGGAGTCCCAAGTCCTTCGGAATTGCACTACTGAGCAGAAAGGAGCTTTGAACAGGCCGAGTCTGGAGAGGGAGTGTGAGGGTCCGTGCCCCCTCCTCCAAGGCCCCGCTTGTTTGGGGCTGTGACCTCGGGGAAGGGAATCAGTGTCCTGGGCTCATGGTACCAGCAGCAGCTTTAAGCCAAGAGCTGGGCTATTTTGAGCTGCACTTCAGCCACCTCCTTGCTGTGTCGAAATCAGTCCTGGGGGATGAGCCTGTGGGTGCGGCATCACAGGTGGCGGCAGTGTAAGGTAAGCGTGCTACTTTATTGTTGAAGGAGTCTCTGCAGTCCTCTCCTGCCAGGCTTCCCAGGGCTCTGAGCCTCAGCACTCTGCTCGCTTTGAGAAGGGAAGGGGAGATGAGATTCAAGAGTTGGAGGGAAGAGGCAGCAAAGCCTGGGGGGAGAAGACAGGCGCTGGCCCATGCCAGGGAGGGTAGGGGCGATCCGCTCCTCTGGGGGAAGAAGGCAGGGATGGCCTTGCTGCTGGGCAAGGAGGGGCCAAGGGCTCAGGTGTTCTGCTCCCCAAGTCTGGCAGTGACAGGCCTGGTTCTTCGTAACCACGAAGAGGGGGCGGGCTGAGTCCAGGAGCAGCTGGGCCATCTCAAGGCCTCCAGGGCTAGGGCTTGCTTAAGTCATGTGAGCAGCGTGTCAGCCTATGCTTCAAAGGAGCCGAGGCAGCCCCAGCACCCAGGTGTGCCCAGCACCTGCAAGCAGGCCAGTGTGTGGGCTGGAACCCCACCCACCACCCCAGAGGGGGGCTCTCTGCAGTTCTCTCCGGAGTCTTTGAGGAGCGGGGATACAGATACGAGGCCTCAGGAACGCTGGATACGGATGTGGACGAAGAGCGTGGCTGGAGACAGCGAGGCCCCGTCCTTGGAAAGCAGGTGGATGTGGCGGTACCCTATGGAGAGGACAGCCGGTGTCAGGTCCTCTGTCCTCAGCCCTACAGGGCAGACCACACCCACCCCTTCAGGTTTGGCCCCGGGGGGACTGGTCCAGGGCAGGCTCTCAAGGGAAACGTGAGGCACGAAGGCGTCAGGGTCTGGGAGGCAAGGACCCACCACTCCACCAACCTTGCTTCAGGCTGTCAAGTGGCAGCGTAAATTGGCCCACAAAGTCATTGGGGGAGGTGGTATCATAATCTTCTACCACGAACCGGACCAGGGCCAGCTCCGGAGCCCGCAGCTGGAACTGCAGGGTCTGCCCCCAGCGGGGGTTGAAGCCTGGGGCAGGGGCAGAGTCAGCCAGCTGGCCCTGCTGCCTGCCCCTCCCTGCCTCTGCTGTCCGCCCCACCCAGCGCCACCCACCGTTGTTGAGCACGTAGTTGGTCTCTTTGCGCGCACAGTCTGCGGGCACCCCGTGGATCTCGATGCGTACCAGGGGGTCCACGATGGAGTTTGGCTTCTCAGCGTTCAGCTTGGGCAGCTGCTGTGCAGTCAGCACCTGGGGAGGGAGGAAGGGGAGCTTTGGCCCAGACCCACCTGCCCTGGGCCTCTGGAGTGAGAGACTCAGGCCTCAGGTGGCCTCCACCACGCCTGTCCCCAGGCCTCCTTTGTCTCCCTCCACCTCAGATCGGCACCCAGCAGCTCCAGCTCCAGGCGAGGACTCAGGCGTGCTCTGACCTGGATGGTGAGGGTAGTTCTGGGAAGTCCAGGGCACTCGGGGTCAAAGGTGGTGTCGGGCTGCCGCAGGCAGGCAGGTTTCAGGACGTAGCCGCACTGCCCGTTGATGAGGAAGCGCCCCGCATTCAGGTCCATCTCGTAGCCTGGTGTCTGGAAGTTCAGGGCCACTGTGGACACATAGGGTCAGAGCAGGGGTGCTTGGTGGCCCTCCCCACCCTGCTCGGCCACACCCCACTGGAGAGAGCGGAGTTCCTCTGGTTAGCGCTGCCTCCACCATGGCTGTGGGGTGTTGGGTCACGGCAGGGGCCCAGCTCCCATGGCCACCCATACCTTAGCCCTGTCTGAAGGGTGGACTTGGGTGGGGCATGCATGAGAAGCCCCTTCAGGGCAAGGCCAGGTCAGTTCCAGGAGCCAGAGGAAGCCGAGGGTTTTCATACCTACCCAAGGGGACTAGCTCCTTGGCAGAGCTCGGCACCCCCAGCCCCACCCTTGTCACTGTCGACTCATGTCAGTGTGTCAGGGGCGCGTGGAAGGGAAGGTTTTTCGTGTCTACCTTCACAGCAACGTGAGACTTTTACACCTCCCAGAACCAAGGAGCCTACTACCTTGCTTTTTGGATAATTCTTATCAATAAAAGGCATCTTTGCCCCTTCTGGAAGGCTGTGTGGCCCCTCAGCGGAGGACTCCTGTGGCTGCCCAAAGGCCTCCCCCACTCACCCAGCTGGCAGCCCGAGTTCCACATCTCCTGGGGACAGTAGTTGGCCGAGTTCATCCGCAGCCCCAGCGGGTACACCCGGGTCAGCTGGCGCGCATTGTGCCTGACGAAGCTGTTGCCTGGGGCGGGGCAGGGGACAGTGAAAACTCCTGGGCACATGCTGCATGCCTCCCCGCCTAGCTCCTGTCCCCTGGCCTGGGGTGGGAGGGGAACTCAGAGGCTGCCGAAGGCCAGAGGAGCAGGGACCCTTGCAGCCACACAGCCCCATTCCACATCCCTGACTCATGGAACCTGGCCCCAGGCTGATGTGCCCTGTCACTGAACGTCATCTGCCCACACCCCTCCAGCCCACTGTGGGTTCCTGGAACCCCTCCTGGAGTCATGCCTCCAGGCCCTGGCTCGACCTGTTCCTCCTATCTAGAAACCCCTCCCCGTCCAGGCTGCTGTCTCCCCATCCTTCAGGCCATGGGTCTTCTCGGGCATCACCTGCTCCAGCCAGAATCCTCCCCTGATCTCAGTCTCTTCTGGGCTCCCTCAGCCCCATCATGGTCAAGTGGACACAGCTATGTCTGCCCCCAACCCCTCGCTAGGCCGTGGGTTCTGTGAAGGCAGAAGCAGCTGCCCTCATCCCTGCCCAGTCTGCTATCCACACCTGACCCAACGTGGGGCATGCACAGGGCCGTTACTCCAGAGCTGAGCCCCTCTCTGGGCTCCTCTTGATTGTTTTCTTTTCTTTTTTTTTTTTTTAAGATTTTTGCGTGTGGGGGGCGGGGGGCGGGTTAAGAAATCACCCCCCAGGGAAGGTGGTCATACTGCAAATCCCTTCTCCATTCTCTCAGGATTTGGGGCACGCACACACGAGCGTCTGGTGTATCTTTCAAGCTGTCAGATCTGGTACTCGAACTGTGAAGTTGGCCGTGTGTGATCTGGCACCTTCACCACGCCACCTGCTGGCCCCTCCTGACCTCTTGATTGCCCCCCCAAAGCTAGTGGCCCCCCAATGTACTTTCCAGACCAACTTCAGGATTATGCACCCCCAGAAGCCTGGCCCTGCTGCCCCCCTGCCCCCAGATACCCAATGTCCTGGTTCCTACCTGCCTCCCGGATGAGCTTCTTGGCCTTGCGCTCACTCAGAGAGCTGACCTGGCAGGGCTGCGCGGGGCCAGTGGCAGGGCACAGGGTCCGCAGGCGGGTGGCACAGCAGTACACAGCCAGGGCTGACAGCTCTGGGCAGATCTGCTTGGTCTGGGAGAAATGGCCTCAGTGGGGGCCCGCTGGCTCCAGCTCCACAGTCCTACCCCCTGCCCTGCCCCACCTAACCGTGGGCAGCCCCACCAGGCCCCGGCCAAGCCCCTCTGGCCAACCTCAGTTCACGCACCCGCCGCCTCTGTTCTGCAGCCTCCGCCCCCTCCTCTTCTTCCTCCTCTTCCTCCTCCTCCTCCCGGTCAGATACAACCCGGCCATCCTCACTCCGAGCAGCGGGCAGCTTCTTCCCCTTCACCAGGACCCGGCCCTTCAGCTGCTGTAGAGGCCAAGACAGAGGGGAAGGGGTGAGCCCTGTCAGCCCCCTTGAGTGGGCCAGTTGGTCAGTCAGTCATTCAACCACTGCTGTGTGGGAGGCTGGCTGGGGGTGGAGGGCAGGAAAGGAGACAGAGATGAGAGATGTTTCTCATCGGAAAAGTGGGGAACTAACTGCGAGGCCACCACCGAGGGGTGGCTAATCAGGTTCAGTCCCCCCATGTGTCAGAATACTACACGGCAGCCGTTACAAAGGAAGCGGCTCCGGCTGGGAGAGGAGCCCTCTGTGACAGGGTCGCAGTGGACGAAGGGAGCGTCAGGTGTAATCACACAGGCCCTTCGGCGTAACAGGAAAGGAGACGGTAGGTATGTACATAGGTATAGCTGCAAGGGAAAATTCTGGAAGGACAAAAAAACACTGAAGGGGACCGGATGGTGGTGGAGCAATATAATGCAACAGTCTGAGGCTGACCCACACGAGAAGGTTCCGGGTTCACATCGGAAGCCTGCCTGGGTATGCCAGGCTCACACACGACCGTGATCAGAACTGGCCGAGGTTGGGGTGGATAGAGATGCCAAGACCCTGCTGGGGGTGCTGTCTCTCTCTCTCTCTCTCTCTCTCCCCTTTTCTGGTCATACTGCTTATGGAAGAAATAGAAATAAACTTAAAACAGAAGGAAGAGACTGTTGAGGATGGTTACTTCTTGTGAAATTGGACAGGACGAGATGAGTAGAGGAAACCCATTTTTCACTGTATACACTTTAGATTCCCCATTTGGGGTCTTTTTTTTTTTTTTTTTTGTCATACGTACATTATTTTCATTAATGACAAAAATCCCACCCACGCACACACAAAGGTGAGGCAGCATTCCCTGTGAATTTGGCACCAGGGAGCCCAAAGAGGAGGAAGATCCCAAGAGACCAGAGATGCACTGGGCTGGCGGGGAGGACAGCACCCTGGCCAGGAAGGAACTCTGCAAGACCCAGGGAGAGGCGGCTGAAGCTGAGCAGATGGCTGGGAAGGGAGTTCCAGGTGAAGGCCACGTCAGCTGAGGCCCAGAGGTGGGACCGGCTGAGTCTGCAGGGACCAAGTGCAAGGAGGCCCAGCAGGCAGGCCAGACCAGGTCATGGAAGGCCCGAGTGCCAGGTAAGAGGGTGCAATGAGTCAAGGATGGAGGGCCAGAAAACAGCAGAAATTTCCAGATGAAAACCTTGGGAGAGGGGAAGGACAAGCCCATGGGGTGGCCGATAGCAGCAGATCGGTGGCATAGGGGCAGGTTAGGGCAGAGCGAGCTGAGGGGTCTTGACCCAGAAGGTGAAAGGAGTGAGGGAGGGAAGACTCCAGCCAGGCCCCCCCCCCAGGTTAGAAATCTGGGAGTGTCACCTCTGGGGATGGCAGCTCTTCGGGGTTCTGCGAGTCCAGTGCCTGTGTCACCAGCATATCTCCCAGGATGGTGCGGAGGTGGCGGGCCATGGCAGCCTGTTGCTCCAGCCCACAGTGGTTCTCAAGGGACAGGATGACAGGGTAGGGGGACAGCTGCGGGGGGGACAGCAGCAGCTCAGAGCCACCCCACACACACACCCCAACTCCTCTACCCTACACAGAATCCCAACCCCTTCAGGACACGAAGGCAAAAGCAGGACTCTGGAGGTTTGGGGACTGTGCCACTGGGACTTGGCACCCTAGAACCAGTGCGTACGTGGAGGGGCAGAGGTCAGGTTTGGGACCTCAGGGAAGGGCAACTGCCCGAGAGGCTGAGGGGGCTCTTCACATGTTAGTGGCCCTGACCACGTCAGTTACAGTGCAAACTCCTGCCACTTATTGGTGGTGACAGCTGTATTCCTTGGCTGATGCTGAAGTGCTTATACAGTCACCAACACTGAGCTTCTCTTACAGCTCACTCGATGGACGCCATGATGGAAATGTCTTCCCCCCTCTCCCCCAAGGTTTTCTTCTGGGAATTTGCTGGTTTTTATACATCCATAAGCTATGAGGGTGGACGAAGAGAACATACATCCAGCTTCGTCCTGCCCCATTGGCCATGGGTCCTCCGCAGCCTTGGGGGGATGAATGACTCCCTGGGCAGGGGTTTGTCGTGCAAGGACTGAGGGCACCTGAGGTGTGGGTAGGGCCAGAGGTCACTGAGAAGGCTCTGGGCTGGGCATGGGGTCCCGGGGCTCACCGTGAAAGCATGGTCACGCACAGCCTGAACCACGTCACGGAAGAGAATCTTGGAGGTCAGCGTGTGGCCATGGTATATGACGGGCTCCCCTCCCGGCCCCTCCCAGCAGTCCAGCTCCACACAGCGGCACCCCTGGGCAAAGGCCCTGCAGATGGGCAGATGGACAGACAGACAGGTGGTGTGGGTGCCACAGGGCAGGGTAAGGGGCAGACTGAGCCAGCCGACTCCAGGAGCCCAGAGTGGGGGTAGAGCCCCATATCCCTCCCCAGGTTCCCAGACACTGTGCCCCTACCCCAGTACCTAACATAGGCCTCGGTGCTGCTGGGCCCCCCGATCTGAGAGTCGGTCAGATACGTATTGTGGGAGGAGGAGATGAAGTAGTGGGCGAGGGGCTGGTCCATGTCCTGAAACACACGCGTGTGGGCCGTGTCCAGGGCAGCCCCCTCAGGCGACAACAGGTACATCATGAAGCCATCTAGTGTCATCAGCTCGTGCTGCTTGGCTAGCGGGGTGGGCAGGAGAGAGCGTCAGGCCACTGCAGGACTCCCGGGTCTGGCCCGAATGGCCCCGAGCTCTCTTGCCTGGGCAGTAATGACTACTGCTGACTAGAGCATGTAAGCTATGCACTCGGCCTTCTACTGAACCCAGGACTGTGCCATTTACAGACGTGGGAGCTGAGTCCAGAGAAAGCGAGGTGACCTGCCCATGATGGTATTCACAGCCACCCGGCAGGGAACCCGGACCTCCAGGTGCCAAGACCCAACTCTGCCTCGTAGGCCCCCACCTGTCTCGTTGAGCTCATAGGCCTGGATAAGCTGCTGGGCACGGGCCAGTGTGGCGCCATCCTCGCCCTGGTCCTCCAGGAATTCCAGCAGCTCAGGGGCGCTCAGCACGCGGTCCTCGCCCGAGTACCGGTGGAAGATCTCCTCCAGCTCTGGGCGCTTCAGCAGCCGCCGCAGGAACTCCTCGATCTCAGCCCCCTCCAGCCGATCGTTGTTGGAATGGTCACACTCCTGGGCACGAGGGACGGGGAAGGGCACTCAGAGGGCAGAGACACTCCAGGAAATCTGGCCCACTGTCGATAGATCTGTCATCTACCCCAGCTGGGAAGAGAATGCCCTTTTCTTTTTATTTTTTTAGAATTATATTATTTAACTTTATTTATTTTTATTTATTTATTTTAATTTGACCAGAGATGGATAGAGTGAGAGAGAGCAGGGAAAGTGAGAAATCGAGCCACCAGGTCCAGGATTTGAACCATGGTTGGCCATGTGGGAGTCCAGCACCCTTAACCACCATGCCATCTGCTGGTCCCAACCCCTTTTCTTTTTAGAATTATTTACTTCATTTTATTTATCATTATTATTTAATTTGCTACTGGGCACGTGCGATGAGTGTGTGGTTACCAGAGAGAGAAAGAGAAAGTCGCCGTATCTGGGACTGAACTGCAGTCGGCCATGTGAGCGTCCAGTGCCTTAACCACTATGCCACCTGGATCTGGATGGCCCTTTCACAGGAGAAACCAAGACCAAGGCTGCAGTCTCTCTAGCTTACTCAGACAGGATTCTTTTTTTTTTTTTTTTTTTTAAGGTTTTTGCCATAGCGTGTCTGTGCTCACCAGAGAGAGACAGACAGAAAGAGGGAAAGTGAGAACTCACCCCTTGAGGGGATGGCCACCCCACAATCTCTTCTTGGGATTTGGGGCATGTGTGCACATGTACCAGGCGTGAGTTTTAAGGCATCAGATCTGGGACTTGAACCAGTCGACCATGTGGGAGTCCAGTGCCTCAACCAACACACCAACTGCTGGCCCCCACACAGACAGGATTTTATGGAAGGTTCCTGAGCTCAGTGTTTGTCCCTCTGTGCAATGACCTACCCTAAGAATGGAGGTGTAGGAGCCAGACAGAGCGCAGTGGCAAAATGTGACTCCGTGAGGCAGACCACATGGGGAGGGTGTGGGTTTGCACCCGGAGACCTCCCTCAGTACATAGCGCATGCACGTGCCCAAGATCTGGGCTGGCTGAGAGTAGAGGCAAATCGTGGCATCTAGACTCTCTCTCTCTGCCCTGCCCCGTAGCCTAGTGATTAAGTGAGCCAGTTCCCGGGAATGGCAGGTGGCGTGGTGGTTGGGGTGCCAGACTCCCACATGGCCGACTGCCACTTGCTTTCTCGCTTTCCCTTTCTCTCTCACTCTGTCCCTCTCTGGTCAAATTAAAATTAATAAACTAATTAATTAAATAATTCTAAAAAAAAAAAAAAACCCAAAACAAAAAAATGAGCCAGATCCCACATGGCTGAGTTCTGAATCCCGGCCCCGGCATGAAAAACAAGCGGTGCACATGTGCCTGCGTGCCCCAAATGCCAACGCGGAGAAATGGAGAAGCGACAGCGGCGTGGCCGTGCCCCTTCCAGGGGTGCTGTCCCCTCTGGCAGGCACACATGTCCTCTGGCGATTAAAAAAACAAATCCCAAACCTGCTCTTGTGCTCACTTATGAAATAAATTAAAAGCAAAGCAAAACAAACAAACACCCAGAGGTGCAGGATGGCGTGAAATGGCGGCCTGGGGCAGGACCACAATGCCCCTCCCGTGTGTACACATTCCGATCCTCACACTCACACAGGCTCAATGAGCAACAAACAGGGTTCTTGGAGCGGTCCCTGAGGAGCTATGGGCCCTCGTGGACAGGTGCCACACTCTCCTGTCACTCAGAGCCTCAGCCTGGTCACACGAGGTCGTCTGCCCGTGTGACCAGGCCCCCATGGGTGAGGTGTACACAGTCACACGTGGAGGGCTGCGTGTGCACCAGTGGAAGGCCCTACATGGAAGTGGGTTCACACGTGTCTGTGCAGATGCATGTATACCTGCAAGCTGACTCCTGTCTGCACCCATGTGCAAGCCACTTGGTCACGTGTGCAAAGGGTGCCCTGCAGACTCAGAAATGAAAATCATTCTGCCCGCCAGCTTCCGCGGAGTGGGGCCCCGCCCCCACTTGGGCTCTGCCTGAGGGTGTGAGGAAAGAAGTTCTAGGCCCCCTTCCCCCTGTCCATCAGGCCCAATGGACTCAGGGCGGGGAGGGTAACTGGGCCCAGGTGCTGCCTTTCTGCGCGCTGGGCCGGGTAGCTGATGGCCGCGGGCCGGGGCAGAGGGCAGGGTGGCGGCAGGGCAGGCAGGGGCCCGGGGTGGGGGTCCCACCTTGAAGAGGCGGTAGGCGTACATGTCATTCATGTCCACATTGACCATTCGGAGCAGGCTCTTCATCTCCTTGAAGCTCATTTTACTGTCCCGGTTGGAGTCTGCCCGGTGCAGGTAGGAGTGGATCCAGGTGTGGGTGCTCAGGAAACACTCGTGCCAGGTTGGGCCCCCCTCCCCGCTCACAGGTAGCCCCGAGTCAGTCACCCCCATTTGTGTCTGGCAGCTCTGGGACAGAGTTGTGCTTCCCCGCTGGCCTGAACTCCCCGAGCAGCAGTCTTCTCCATGGGTCCCGGGCTCACCAACTCGGGAGGCCCTCCTTACCCCCTTTAGAGAGCCCTGGCTCCTCCCCTCCCGGGGCAGCTCTGGGCAGGCCAGGGCACGTCACCACCCGCCACTCCCACGACCAGGGCCTCCATCTCAGGGCGTGGCCGTCAGGACAGGGCCCTCCCTCCAGCAGGGGAAGGATATTGGTCGAGCCGCTCGCGCTGGCTCATGGCGTCGAGGCGCGCCCGCAGCTTGGCCAGGCCGCGCACCCAGCGCTGCGCCTCCTCCGCCGTGGGGGCCGCCAGGTCCAGGTTCTTGCGGCGGCCCTTGAAGGCGATGGTGAGGGATGTGCTGCACGAAGACGGCGGGAAGGGCTGGGTCAGGGCGGCGCGCCGGGAGGCGGGTCCGGGGTCCCCGCTTGCCCCGCTCCCCCGCGCCCCAGCCCGCTCACAGATGTGCTGCGACGGCGCGCGCGGGATGCGCCGCTGGAACCACACGCTCAGGCCGTCCTCCTGCAGCCGGTACAGCCGCTCCTGGTGCCACGTGCGCGAGCGGATCTTGCGGAGCCGGGAGCCCCGCAGCATGGCGCGCACGTCCTCGTCCTCCGTCAGGCCTGCCAGGGAGGAAAGGTCGGGCGTCAGGCAGGGTCACAGATGTGCTGCGACGGCGCGCGCGGGATGCGCCGCTGGAACCACACGCTCAGGCCGTCCTCCTGCAGCCGGTACAGCCGCTCCTGGTGCCACGTGCGCGAGCGGATCTTGCGGAGCCGGGAGCCCCGCAGCATGGCGCGCACGTCCTCGTCCTCCGTCAGGCCTGCCAGGGAGGAAAGGTCGGGCGTCAGGCAGGGCTGGCGCAGCATCCCTGCCAGAGGGAAGGAGGGAGCCTCACCCTCCACCCACCCCACACCACCTCACCCCGCTGGGGCCTGCCGTTCCCTCCCTGAGCCTCTCCAAATCCAGGCCTGCCCGCTGTAGGGAACCTTACAGGCTCTCCCTCCTCTGCCCCAGCACCCTCTGTAGTCCCTCGGAGAACAACCCCTCAGGTAGTGTCGCCAACCAGGCCCCACTAAAGGTCACCGTTTCTGCCACTCTTCTCTATCCTGCCTAGAATCTACCCCCAGCAGCCTCTTCCCTTCCCGTGACACTGCCGCCATCGGGAAAGTCGCCTCACTATCTAACCTAAATCTCGCTGCAACCCAAGCTCCTCGCCTCTGCTTTCCCGGAGACGGAGGACAGCAGAGGCCACACTGGCTCCAGGGTCACAGGCCCAGGACTCCAGGACCAGCCCCGCCTGGGTGGTCTCCAGGTGTTCTCTTGGTGTCCTGCTGA